TATATATATATATATATATATATATATATATATATATATATATATATATATATATATATATCCCATTTTCTTAAGAAACTGCTATTGTCTTTAGCAGACTGCAATTTTTCACAGCAGCTCATCTGTGGAACATTGACCCTTTCTCTACAAAAAGAGATCATATAAGTGATTCACCCAGACATAAAAAAAAAACCCTATCAGAAAATAGCCTTAACTGATATCATCAGGCTCTCTTAAAAAAAATTGTAGATCTATTGATCCAAACTCCATTTGAACATAACACGACTGATTGGCATGCTGAAAGTAAATGAAATAAAATGAATATGACTGCAGTATAATGTTAAAAATGATTTTTCTTAAAGAATGGTGTCACCACAGTACTATCCTATTTTTTGTCAATGAAGCAGAAATACAATACTCTCCAGTCTATGCTGCTGTTGTTAACTGTGAGCTTTAAACACTGTAAAACCAAACATATCGATGACATAGAACCTGTGCTTTCTTAAATACAAACCCTAATATCTATTTCTCCAAGCATCTACCTCCTAGCCTCTCACTACATTTAATAGCTTACATGTTAAACTGATGGCAATTTAATTGCCTAAGGTCAATATCCATTGACTTCTCAGGTCCTGATGTGGACCTCGCAGTGCAGAAGTCATCCCCACCAACTCAAAAACAACCCACTTAAGAAGCTGTAAAGTGTAATTAACTGCTGCAAAGTCTACACAGACTAGACATGAAGTCATGGAAATAGCCTTTTGGAGGAGAAATTCTCATGACTAGTGTGAGTTTACAGGCCTTCTGGGATTTGAGGGTCTGCTGGGTTTTTGATGTAGCTCCACAGCAGCCAATTAAAATGCCCCTATTAAGGAGAGAGTTATCTCCTCTGCACAGCCAGATGTCCACCGGTTGAATTTAGACAAGCTGTAATGGCCACTGGGTGAAAGAGCCACAATGTCTCTGCAGCTGGAGTGAAGTAGCTGGAATATTCATGGATTTAGATTGTGGGCTGATTCAGTCTAATCTTTTTGGCCTTACCTTTAACGTGCTTTGATTTTACTGTATGTCGGTGGGGGGGCTGTGTGCAGATGCTTGTCTTACCATGTCAATAATGCTGATCTTAGCCCCTGTTTGAGCAACGCTATGCAGATGTATCCTCTCTGAATGCTTGTTAGATAGTCTGATTAAAGATATTTGCAAATAGGCTGTTTTTTTATTTCCTATCATTTGCATGTGTTCTGTGCTGCTGTTAGCAAAACAGCTGACAGTGGAAGTTTTTTAAGCCCTGTCCGCTAGGAAATAAAATGACTGATGAAGCAAAAGAGGAAGCAGAGAGGCAGAAATGACAGCAAAAGGCCGAAAGAAAGAGAGGTTAGAGGCAGGGAATGAGAGACAAAATGCATGTTTTTGAACCTCGTGATGTAAATATATATAAAAAGAATTATTTTAACTTTGGTTAGGTAGAACATGTTCATGAATCAAGATTGCAAAGTACAAATTTTTATTAAGTGGAACTTATGTGGAAGCCGAAGTGAGAGTTAGTACAATGCTGCTCAAGTACCCTCAAGCAAGAAACTGACATCAATTCAGCATTTTTCAGCTAACAATTTCTCCTATCTTTAAAAGGAATCTGAGGGTAGAAAACATGTTCATACGGGTAAAACATTTGGCTTTACTTCACGTTTATGGAACTACTTTCACAAAAACATAGCGCATATATACATGCTTTGATTCTGAGAGGTTAAAACGCCTCACATCAGACATGGTGGTTACTAGAGCTAAAAAACACTTATTTGAGATAATAAAGAAATACATCTGCTACAAAAATGTCAGAAACCTTTTTTAGGTTTCACTGTTCATCTAGATATAGTTTTAGTTTTAGGCTGTACATTTAGCTCCTTTTTATACATCAAAATGATGCTCCAAGATGCAAACTCAATGTATAGATGTTGCAGCCTCTCCCTCTCCATATCAGGCGTGTATCCTGAATCTAGTTTTAGGCGTTCATTGCTGCTTTGCTTCCCGGAGTCATTATTCTAATATAAATAAGCTTCCTTTTCAGGTTTTATTTATGAAATTGCTTTACAATGCAGTTATGTATCATAAATGTCTGCATTAATAATATATTTTTCCCTGAAAATGTATGACTTTCTAGTCTCGGAGAATATATATTTTTACTCTTGCAAAGATGCAGGTTGTTTTTTTTTACTGAAGTGAACCCCTTTGTGATCTTTTTTATATATATATATATATATATATATATATATATATATATATATATATATTTAAAGTCAGTAAACTATTTATGGAGCTTGATTTACGAAATGTGATTTACACTGGGCAATGGTGGTTTCTTTTCTCCTTGCGAACACACAATTCATGTCTTGGTCGTGGTTTTGCAGCCTAAAAGGTTTCAGTGCTTTGTTTGATGTGTAATTAATCTGCTTATGCTGCAATAGGAAAGAGATGGTATGAAATTCTTCAGGTATGAACATCCCTGTTTTAATGCCTTTTTACAAAAACAAGTGCTTAAGGGCTTTAAAATGTCGATAACATGAACAAGTTGTTTATTTAAAACAATTATTTATGCAAAAATAGTACTTACACCTATGTTAAGTATTTTTTAGTACTTAGTGTGTAGCAAAAATACAATAAGCTGATATTGCTCTGGTGTAGCCTGCAATCCACTACTTAGCTAAAATGCTGCTCGTTGCTTGCCACTTGTAGTTATATAACAACATCACCATCATAGGGTGATGGGCTTTCCATTCTGTACTCTGCACACTATGATTGTGTTTAAAATATTTCCATTGAGACAGTTTTCATTTTTGCTGGAAATTGAAAAGTTTGGTAAGTTTATCTAGGCCAACAGACCAGCGTCTTCTGTGGGGTGGGCAGTGAGAAGCACGGAGGTACTCAATACTTTAAAAAGCCAAAATAAGTTTATTTTTATGTGTGTGTCCTGTTTTGACAATATGGTTCTGGGAATCGATGTCCCAGAGCTAGCTGTTAGCCCCGTAGCTTTGCTTTCACCAGCAGACCATTATGACTGTTGCTATAAGGCTCAGCTTGATACTTATATATTAAACTTTAGTGAAAAATTTTTAGGGACTAAATCGTATACAACAGACTCAGAGACTGAAAGGGAGGCAAAGAGGTGATGCGCCCCCAAGATATCCAGAGGCACACAAGATCACTGGGAAACATGGAGGGCAGACATAGGTATGGCCGCACCCACCAGAGAAGGGCAGACGGGAACACCCGGAGTCTGACCCCCAAAGGGGCCTAACCCAAATGGGGCCCAGTCCCTGAGGGGCCTGACCCCAGAGGCCATACTCCCGGGGTCCCACGGTGCAGCGACAGCAATCCTGTGGGCTTTGCCGGTGGTCTGTCATGTCTAAATTGGACCCGAATGAGAGCCCAGGGGTCCGAGGCCCAGGGGCGCACCACTCCCCAGTGGGGACCTTATAGGTCAGGAGAAGTCCGGTCATATTCAGAATTAAAACTTCTGAAAGTGTTTTAAAAATGAAATTACTACATACTGGTCAATAAATGATAAGTGTTTTTAATTAAGAGTAATTTTCATTTGAATGTGCTTTACCGGAGACATCCATGTTTATCAAAGAACACTACTTCCACCTACCTGTTTGTGACGTCACGGTGCGGTATCGGCTGTTGAGCAAGTCCCAGGTCTCTATCTGCTGTTTGTCACTACGCACTATTATCCAAGTCCTCTTGAAAACATTCTTCTTCAAAATGTTG